TGTAGGTAGCACTTTATATTTTGTTATTTGTAATGTGAGTTGTTAACTGTTGTATATTGTGTGTGTGTATATATTTACCTGTCTTGTTGCATCCCTTGTTGATACCACCCCTTGTGGTTTGCCAGTATTTATTGCTGTTCACCTATATTTACTTGTTGGTTATTTGGACTTGCCTGTGCTTACCTGTTTCAGATCAGTTACTTACCTGTGCTGGGTTCGAGGCCATTGGGGATAGTATAATTTTCTGGGGGTGGGGGGTGTATTAATAAACCTGTATGTACTTAAACTATTTTTGTCCTGGCCTGACTATAGAGAACAGAGGGAACAGTGGTATTGCATATCCCTCTCACAGCACTCCTGCCTGGCTCCCCATCCCTTCTATTTGGAGTGGGGAGCACATACTTGGGTGCGCCCGGGTTACAAAAGGTTGAAGGAAGTAGGAAAGTTTCCTTTGCAGAAAAGGAGATAAAGGGGACACATGATAGCAGTTTTCATATGTTTGTAAGCTACCATGAAAAATAGAGAAACATTGTTCTCACTTGTCACAGAGGGCAGGATATGCGGCAATGGATTTAAATAACAGCAAAACAGATTTAGATCGAATCTCAGGAAAGCTTCCTAACTGCAAAAGCAGCAGGAGAATGGAACAAGCTGCCTATGGGAGTTGTGAGGTCTCCTTTTATTGTTTTCAAATAGACATGCTGGATAGATATCTATCTGGGATGGCTTAGGAATAGTGCAGGAATAATACACTGGTGCAGAGGTCACTAGATGACCCTTGAGGCCTCTCTCAATTCTGCAGTTCTATATAGATTTTAGGATTTAGTCTAATGCACATAAAATGGGGTGTTAAAAATATATGACGGTGAGAAAAGGGTGAAAAAATCCTAAATGTAAAAATATTTGCATTTTTTTCTGATCTAGTCAAGTGAATCTACAATTTTGGAAAACTTATTCAGAGAAGAAAGAATATTTGTATTTTCCAATCATTCAATTATTTTTGTTGTCAATCAGCAGCTCACCTATTATACAGATATGATACAGTTGAGTTGTTTCAGGCAGAGTGAGACAGCATAAAGGACCACAAATCATATTTTAACACCACGTAGCTCATTCAGGTATGTAAAGTACCTGCTATATTTTCTGTGAAGCCCCTTACTCCATGTAGTAGCCCTCTGCATTATCATATGCAATGGATTTCTTTCAGACTGGTACACACTCTTTCCCATTCAGTTTGGTTATGAACAGGCGAAGCTCAATGGCTCTGCTCCTCAGTGAACTACAGAAGTAAACTCCCTCAGCAGAAGTGGTGGCAAAGATTACTTCCTCCTTGGATCAAGAACCAAATCCTGACTTTTAATCACAATCGAATTCTTGCCCTGCTCCTGAGTAGCTCAGCTACATGCTATTCTTTCCTTGCATTAGATACAAGAGTGTGCTAAAAGTTACCATTTCCTGACTGGGAATTTTACAGTCCTTCTCTCTCTGCCCTTTCTTTCCTCCCTCAAATGGCCTTAGTAGCTGAATATTGGGCACTGACAGATGTGCACCTCCCCGCTGTAACTCATGGCATGTCACAGAAAGTGTCATGAGTTACAGCATTTCCCCTGACACAACAGACATTTGCTGTTGGGTCCAGGGATTTGGGAGATTGAGCTCCAGTTTGGAGCAGCTGCGTGTCTGTAGCTGCTCTCCCCTAGCCCTGCTCCTCCCACCTGCCAGCTCTGGTGCTGCCTTCAGAATGGGAGGGAGAGAAGGGAGGGTGTGGGATTGGAGCCCTGCTCCTGGTGTGAGCTGACAGATGTTAATGAAAGTGCTCCACTTAGGAGTGCCTTTATCTGAATCCTCACCTAATGAGGGTTCAGTTTGTTGCATCATCAGGGACTTTTAAAGTGCTCTGCAGCCATGCACTTCTGTAAGGGCATGGCTGTAGAGAGCTTTCAAGGGGCAGATTGTGCCACAAACGTAACTTTTGTCTGTGCCCTTGTTACCTGAATATTCAATAGCTAATCACCACCAAGACTAATTGGGTGGAATGTGTGCCTTTACTGTTACCATCCACAATTTCTGTACAGAAAAAGACTGTTACTTCTTTCACCAACAGACTTGTGATAGTGCTCATGGGTAAAAAGAGGTTACCAATGGATAGATGTGTTCAGAGTGATTCTGCCCTCTGGATTTTAATTAAACCAGCACAGACACTTGTTTTAATCAAACAGGTCTGAGCTAATCTGTAGGCTTTTCAGGAAACAAGAGCCAGTAATAATGAAATTGAATTCAGGCTGCAGAACTGCCTCTCTCTGTACATTTTAGAGCTAGAACTGAGATATTCTTTTAATGGAAAAAAGTTAAAATATAACCCAATCTGCAGCAAAAAGGCAAATTATTAATCTTGCTGATGAACGTGTATCTCTATCATAATATATATTATGTATGTTAGTAATTGAATTGAAGAAAGCTGAATCTAAAATCTCAGACAAAACCAAACATGCTACAACTATACTGAGTATGAAAAGAAAAAGAAAACCAGAATCAGGAAAGTTGCTTCTAGACAGAAAACAAATCTATAGTAACTTAACCTCTAGATGTACATGTGATAAAGTAGATCTGTGGTTTGTTAGATAGTAGTGCCTATACAGTAATAGTCCTATATGCGTATACTATACTATATCTGAGATATAGGTTGTAGCTGTGTTGGTCTAAGGACATAGGAAGACAAGGTTCTTTGGGTAAATCCAGTATCTTTTATTAGACCAACTAAAATACAGTAAAAGCTTTTTTATCTAGCACCCCTGGGGAATGGGGGGTGCTGGATAACAAAATATACTGGTTAACTGAGTGGCCCGAACAGGTGTCTTTGCCTGTTCAGGCTGCTGCTGCATCCGGGGCATCACCACCCCTTCTGCAGACCCCACGGGCCCTGAGGAACAGGGAGGGGGGCCCACATAAGCTGCTGTGCCCTGGGCTGTGAGGGCTCAGCAGTTCAGGCTGCTTTGTCCCAGGCCACGGGGGCTCGGCGAAACTGGAAGTGCCATGGTGGGCACTTCCACTTTTGCTTTTCCCTTACAAGCCCGCATGCAGGTTAATAGAGAATGTCGGCTCAAAAAGTGCTGCATATAGCGTAGCTTTTACTGTAGTTGGAAAAAATTCTTTGCAAGCTTTTGGGTACGAACACCCTTCATCAGACTGAGGAAGTGCCTGTAGTTGGTCTGTGCTCTTCCTGGATGGAATAGAAAAGAAGCCAGTAGGCATGAGAGAGAGCCAGTCAGTGAAAAGGCAAATTGAGACTGTCAGTGGGTGAGAGATGGGGTGGGGGTAGGGATGGAGAAAGGAGAATGTAGATTTGATCATAAAAATATAGTTGGGAAATAGTAGAGAGGTTATCTGGGGTGTCAGGTGTTAGGCAGGTTATAATGTGTCATAAATCCAATGTCTATATTTAGTCCATGATTTTTTGTATCCAGTAGGTTGATGAAGTGAAGTTTGTAGACTCATCTGTGAAAGGTGTTTTGTAAATTGCCTTTGAGAATTAGAACTGAGAAATTGGAGAGTTCTAATTCTCAAAGGCAATTTACAAAACATCTCACCCTCACCCTCACCCCCCCCCCCCGATGCTATGAAAACTATGGACTGGGTAAAGGGAAGCTACTGTCTGAATATGGTTCTATTCAGGGTGTGTCAGATTCTGGCTTCTAGCAGTTTTTTGACTTTCAGAATACTGCTTTTTAACTATATGTAACAATGATGACTTAGAGACAAATAAAACTGATAGGTCCCTATCCCAAGGAGTTTGACTAAAGTAAATATGATAGATTCATAGATTCATAGATTAAGGGTCGGAAGGGACCTAGTAGATCTTCTAGCCCGACCCCCCGCCAGGGCGGGAGAACAACAAAAACCCCAAAAAGAGAAATGGGACTCAAACGAGTCCAGCTAGGTGGGCATCCAGCCTCTTCTTAAAGACCCCCAGGGTAGGGGCCAGCACCACTTCCCTTGGAAGTTGGTTCCAGCTCCTAGCCGCCCTAACGGTGAAGTAGTTTTTGCGGATGTTCAATCTATACCTCCTCTCCAACAGCTTGTGCCCATTTCTCCTTGTTATGCCAGCGGGCGCTAGGGGAAACAGCGTCTCCCCCAAACCCCTCTGGTCCCCCCTAGTGAGTCTATAGACAGTCACCAGGTCCCCCCTTAGCCTTCTCTTGTGGAGGCTGAATAGGTTCAGGTCCCGCAGTCTCTCACTGTAGAGTCTGCCCTGTTGTCCCTGGATCATGCGGGTGGCCCTCCTCTGGACCCTCTCCATATTGTCCACATCCCTCTTGAACTGGGGCGCACAGAACTGGACACAATACTCCAGCTGTGGCCTGACCAGTGTCGCATAGAGGGGGAGGATCACCTCTTTGGCTCTACTCGAGATGCACCTGTGGATGCACGACAAGGTCCGGTTAGCCTTGCCAACCATGACCTCGCATTGTCGGCCCATGTTCATCTTGGAGTCAATAATGACTCCAAGATCCCTTTCTGCCTCCGTGCTCTCGAGTAAGGAGTTCCCCATTGTATAAGTGTGCTGCTGGTTCCTACTGCCCAAGTGCAGCACCCTGCACTTGTCCGTGTTAAAACGCATCCTGTTCCTGTTAGCCCACCCCTGTAACCTATCCAGATCCCTCTGCAATCTCTCGCTCCCTGCTAGCGTGCTCACCTCCCCCCAGATTTTGGTGTCATCAGCGAATTTAAACAGGTTACTTTCCACCCCTTCATCCAGATCGCTGATGAAGAAATTGAACAGCGCAGGCCCCAGGACCGAGCCCTGGGGGACTCCGCTACCCACCTCGCCCCAGGTCGAATATGACCCATCCACCACCACCCTCTGAGTGCGACCCCTCAGCCAATCTGCAGTCCATCTGACTGTGGAGGCATCGATGCCACAGTCACCTAGTTAGATTAAGGAATGTCATTACAAAGAACTAAAAGAGGACCAATACAGAAGAAATACTTTACTTTGAAGATTTTATTAACAAATGTGCTTTATTTAACAATTTCTGGCATCAATTGAAACTCAAAACAAAAATACTAAAATAAAAAATAATTTTCCAAATATAATACAAAAGCATAGTCTGGAAATATCAAAAAAATCCCTTATACATTATGCACGTTGTACTTTTAGCATTGTTTTTTCAACTATGGTACTTATTCACTAGAAAACTTTCAACTGTAAAAGTTCCATATTTTTGTTTCCCAATCAGTTAAGAATCGATTATCACTCATATAAAACACGCAAAAAACTTGATTTTCAAGAATAGCCATGTAGCCACAGAACCCTCATTACTTAAGAACCCTTAAATAAAAGCTGCAGTTACCACTTAAGTGATAGTTTAAGGACCAGATCTTCAGTTGGTCAAGATTGGTGCTTTCTCAGTCATACCGCATTAAAATTCTTACAAATCTTTCAAATGGTATATTTAAAAATGGTAATATGCTGATCTTTATTCCATTTGTGTTTATATATTTTAAAATAGCTGTCTCTGAATAATTAAAAGAAAAGCACACCTCAAATTCCGGCACCATATAAAAAGGTTTCCAAAGCGTATATACATATATGCAAAAAAAAATTAGATCAATATCCACCTGCAGTCTGTCCAGCAGCAACCATTTACCATTCATAAGCCTTTATTATCAGGAACATGTAACGCTACATAGAAAGGCAACCATGGGTCAGGAGACCATATGTTCACTCACATGTGGTCTCCTGACCCACTGTTGCCTGGATCCACAAATACCCATCTGAAATGTCCCTCCATGGCTTTTGCTGGCACTATTATTTATGAAGGAAACTATAAGAATAGAGGCAGATAAATTATGCCCCACAGTCTTGGCCATGCATGTGCTTGCAAGTGGAGCCTGCCAAAATTTTGGTCCCAAAACAGAAAGCAGGATCTGATCCTGTTGCTTCTAAACTCACTGGCACAGAATCGAGGCTTGAATATATATCACAAATAAGAACAGAGTATTTTGCTGTGAACAAGTTATTTAGGTGACACACAAACTTACTGAGACTTTTGTAGAGTAGAACCCATCCAACACAGAATAAGTACCACATTCTCTAATAGTAGCTACAAATTTAAAGTGATACCTAGTGTAGAACTGCAGTGATTCAGCAGTGTCTATTTAAAACACACTTGAAGTAAAAAGACATATTCCAGACCCTAGCTATAATACTCAGTGACATTTCTTCAACAGATGCATTGTGATATTTTTAACTGCTAGCATGGTTTCTGTACAAGTTGGTTTGATGAGAGCCTCAGGAAGTAAAAATCCAAAATGACCAGTATCACGCAGCTCAAATGCAAATGCATACGGAATGCCGTTTTTGTAGGCCCAGTCCATAGAACTACCAGAGCTCACATCTGGGGAAGATAAGATAAAATAGGGTTAACGTAACTTATGTTTGTCCTGCTGAACTAAGTATACAGTTACCATGACATTGTAGTTAAGAAGCTTAGTGAATGCTTAACACCTAGAGCCTGACTCTTGTGTACTGAATGTCCTCTAGTCCCATAGAAATCCATGGGCATTCGGTGCCTCCTGGAAGTTGCTATTATTAGTATTATTTAAGAAAAAATAATGTTCTAATTTTCCTTATTTATTTTCAAGAGTCTGTCATGTAAGGGAACATTTCAGCCCCAGTCTCTGTTCTGCATCATTACTATTTGTTGAATACCTATAGTGTATTTCCTTTCACATGGGATTTAAAGGAAGATATGTTCCCAGACACCAAGTGATTCTCAACCTGTGTAATGCAGAACCCAGGGGTTTCACGAGGTCCTTTTAAGGATACCATAGTGTCTGGTCCCTGTGCATGGTGGTAAGCACTCTCCTCCTCCAATCCAGAGGCCTGCATCCACCATGGCATCCTGCAGACAACTGGTGCTATCAGCTACTGTGGGCACTTCTACAGTTGCCTTCCCTTGCCCTCGGGCACTAACGGCGTGTGCCCCTGGTGGCTGGGGGAGGCATGGCAGTGGGGAGCTCCCGCAGATGCTGCTGGTGCCAGTGGTGGGGGGGTGAGTGGCGAGCACCCACCAAGGGTCAGCAACCATCCACAGGTGCCACCAGCAGCATTGGTGGTGGCCAGCGGTGATCGTGGACTGCCCACAGATGCTGCCAGTGATGTAGGGGGTGCATATATATGCACCCCCTATGCATGGCCCCTGCCCCTGGGAGCCCCTGTGCTGGCTGACCTCACACTCTGAATAGCATGCTGTGCTGTGGGCAGATGAGCAGATGTGAGGCTGTTGAGTTTCACTTGTCAGACTGGCTCATTTCCTGCCATGCCCCACTCCTCCTACATTCCCAGGGCTAGGGGGATAAGCTGCAACAGCACACAGCTAGGGTCACTGGTGTCCAACAGCCTGAAGGAGCAGCTTAAGTGGTTGGGTTGCATTTGTCCAAACAGCATACATGGTGGA